AAATCATTTTACAACTACCAATATATTAAATATATAATAAAATTAATCCAAGAATGTAACCTATACGCCGTAGCTACCATATTTATATCAAATATTCATGCTAGGTGATGCAGTTCCTACCAAAATAGATAAGTACAATTTGCCTGAAACACATTTTAAAATTTTGCTAAAGCTTTTAGCGTTAAAACATTTATCTCCTTACGGCGGTCACAATCTAATAGTTCACTTTTCAATTTTTTTGTGAAGTCTATTGTACTCTGTATAAAACAGGCTGAATTCAGGCCCTACACTGGCATAAGTAGTTGTTTTAAAGGGTAGTTTTAGCCTACTCAATCCCTATCATTTTCGGATCACAATGCCTTCTAGTTGTTTTCCTTTACCGAAAACAAGTTTAAAAATTAATGAGGAGTCTTAGAACATCTTAAAAGACTAACAATTTTATTATGGCACAAAATGTTGTGGATTACAATCCATTTCATCAAGTATATCTGATAAGTTGGCATCCATTACATGAAAGCATATGCCATAATAAATGTGTTATATCAAACTCACCTAATTTCTCTGAAAGTGAGAACATTCAATTTCACAAGAGTACTATATCTGTAAAATGTCTAGAACGTTTTCTAAAAAAAAGATTAGAAAACATTACAAATTTTACAAATAAGTAACTTTTCAACATATTGCATATATGTGTGTGATGTTATCTTCTGAATAGTATTTCTATTCAGCCTATGCTTGTCTTTTTTTTGGACTGAGCACATTTCTAGTTGTTCATGCTTTCAGCACATTGTATCAGTCTGAATCATAGTAGTGACCTCATTGAAGGGAGAATATGTTGAAGGACCTTTCTTCTTGAATTTCACCCCTCGCAAAACCTCAGTAATTCATGTTGATGTCAAGAAGCAATTTTCATTTTTCAAAGCATGTTCTTAGCAGACTCTCTCTTAGGCACTTCTTGACCAGTTTCAAAAGACCCTTCCTCAGTGGAGGACAATTTAGAGAATAATTTTGCTATCTAAAATATCAGATTATAAATGATATTTTTCTTTTTAATAAGTCTTCTCTATTAACTGATACACCATGTGAGCATGCTAATGCTAAAAGAGCAAATTCAAATGGGCAGGATCATTTGCTATAGATCTCTGTAAATAGGGATTCAAAGTCTTGTATACCATTCAAGCTATTTAGGTAGTGGAGTTAATCACAATAAAGTACACTATGTCAAGATATCAACATAAGAAACTACCAGATGTGAAACATAGAATATTTACAATTTACTAGAAAACTATTTCTTGGTGACTATAGACATCTATAGCACAGTTTTACATATTAATTACATATTAATGAAATTCTTGTATAAAGGAAGCTGAAATGAATTGTTTTATAAAAAAGCTACAATACTTAATTAAAAGTGGTGTGGGTTTTAGTTTTACAAATGTTCGAAAATAATAAATAATCTGGAAGTGGCATCTTCTGGCATACCAACTCATTATTACTACAAGTAATTTTCCCCCAATTTATCAAAGGTGCCACCACTGGTTCAGTTTGAATATGTGCAGTAAATCTAGGGACACTTAAGACAAATTCTGATATTTACTATACTGTGCATAAACAAAAACATGACACACTGGTTACTGGTTCTGACTAAATTCTAAAATATGAAACCATTCCTCCATAACCAACAGGGGAAAATTGGAGGAGAAAGAATCATACCATTGTACTGCAGTCACACTGAAAAATGATTCTCTGTTCAAACACTTTCAAACATTGCGGAAGCTCAACAACTTCTGGATTTTGCCTGGACTTGTGCACAGGCAAGTAGATACTTGCTGACAGTTGACATCATATCTACCAAATGTTTACTACTCTTTACACATTCTTATGTTCAAACACTGCATTTATTATTCTTCATGAAAGCTCAGGCCCACTTCCAAAATCACAGGAGCATTTTCTCAGCTGCTGCAACCAATGATTGCTGCTGGCCAAAAAAGCAGCATCTTTTTGCTTCCCATCTCAGTGCCCCTGGATAACTACAATGATTTGTATGAGAAATAAAATGTGATCTTTTAATTGACTTCCAGCTTCTAGGCAAAGAATCAGACTTCCTACTACCAAGATAAAATATTCAAACTCAGAATCAAATGGTACTTTCTGTCTCTAACATCCAGTTAAAAACCAGTAATAACAACGCACTACCACTAGAGGTGTTTAAAAACTCACAGATTTCAATAGCTTTGACCATGTCAAGCCCAACTGCATTTTCCCACAAAACAACAGTTTGTAGTTCTTAGGGCAAGGTATGTGCATGTGATGAACACAAACAATCCACATTCAATTTTTTTGATGGTTTCAGTGTTTTAATTATATGCCTAAGCAACTCATCAGTAATACTCTCCCTGTTTCTGTTTACATGATTCCAGATACCAGCATAAAAGCAAGAAGTGAGCAAAGAACTCATTCTACTCTCAATTCATCTTATCAGAGATTTCAGAGTGATAGTGTAAAACTGCCCAGTATGTTTTAAATAGGAAAACCAATTTAAAATGTAAACAAACATTTCCAGAACAGGTATTTTTTTCATACCCAATTCTCTGTCAAATGAAGTCTGCATATTGCCTGCCAAGTTTAAAAAGAATGGTGAACAAAACTGTATCAGCAGGTTTTGGGCTCTATCCACAAACTTCAGCAGTTAAGTTGTGGAGTCCCATTAATTTCCATTCTTCTTCCCATGCTGTTTAACACACACATGAAACAGGTGGGAATATCTCCCAGGGCTTTGTGGTAAAGTGCCATCAATGACACTCAGTTGTACTTTTTTTACATCAGATCTGGGTGTAGTGATTAGTGATTCCATGAAGACTGAATAAACAAACTCAATCCAGATAAAATGGTTGCTATCGCTGGAAAGCTGATCAGCCAGAAATCTGTCTTTGTAGTGGGCAGACTTTCCCACAAACATGAAGATTAAAAGCCTGAAAATGTTTCTGGATCTAAATGTGAAGAACAATTTTAATGCAAAAATGCTGTTAACCAGCTGCATTCCTTTCTGGACAATAAGGACATTGGCAACATTTTGCATGGACAGTGTCATCGAAGCTACCAACATGAATTTGACCAACCTCCGGGAGGCAGTGGAAGACAGGAGGGCCTGGTGTGCTCTGGTCCATGGGGTCATGAAGAGTTGGACACGACTAAACAACAACTACAAATGAAGAGCTGTCCTTGAAGAAAACTTATACATCTAAAAAGTAGAGACTCGGGTGGTTTAATTGTTTGAGATCACAAATATGTGACAAACTACATTACTGTGGTTCTGAAAAGAATCCACTAGCTTCCACTGACATCCTAGCCAAAGTAATATTGCCCACTTTGTCATCAAAACCCTAAGTGTCCTGAAACCAGTGTAAATGGAGGAACGTCTCCTGTGCAAATCATAATATGACACCAAAATCAAGCATCACGTGCTGTGTTAGAAGAACATGCCAATATCTACAGAAATAGCTGGCAGCTCTTGATTGTGGAATTCCCTACCGGAGACTCTCAGCAGATTCTATGTTCTTAGTCCTTTTGTCAGAACAGTCAACTATTTTTTATTTTTCTAAGTCCTTCCATTGTTTTAGTACTTGTATATTTTATAAATTTTATTATTTGATTTTTCTATTACACAGATGTAAGACACTATGCGGACTGGAGAACACAAGAGAATCATATATAACTGGCAGTAACTGATGTATTTTAAAAACAGATTTGCTTCTTTGAAATGTGCTAACACAACAGTGAAAATTATTAAGTGCTCCATGTCCACATATAAAGCAAGCTTCCACAACAAGGCAATCAGAGAAGAGTATGAATGCTTACACAATGAGTATGCAGAGGAGCATTACCATCTGCATTGTAAGTTATCTGTGGATATGCACTTTTCTATCCACATTGCAAAGTTTAAATTCCCATACCATGCAACATGTCTAGAGCCAGCAGGGCAAAGTTAGGTATTTTGTGTGAAATATATGGGCCAAATTGCTATTTAGTGATCTGAACAGGTGACCTGCCTTTGGGAAGCAATATTTTTTCTCCTTTCCTCACCTCTAGTTGCTAGCATATATTTAATATGGTAATGCTCAGTGATTAAACCACTGTCTATCTGTATTAAAATAATAAATTACAAGTAACCTTTTTTCTATCTGTATAATTATAACTGCTTTCTTCTTCCCTGATAAACAGCACTAGAGAACCAAAATTCTACAGTTTTTTTCTATATGTCACCTGTTTTACTTCTGATGAGTAAAAACTCTGGAACCGAACTGCTTGTTAAGAAGTACAAGAATATTACCATACTAACATTTTTATGTCCCAATACAAACCTTAGCATTTTAAAACAAGTTCAGTATTAAACTGGCAAGTACAGATACTACACTTGATCTCAGCCAAAAGGCCAAGAAATAAGTATTTAATAACAGTGCTTAAAAAAATAAGCATCACTTCCACAATGTCAGACTCCATTTGTTCCCCATTAACTATCCAATACTTCAAAATGCCAAGATTACTCACTTCCATGCACTCAAAGAAACTCCCTGCATGAAAACCTTATTGCTATTGAAGAAGCTCACCTGCCTGATGGTTAAAATAGTCACTACAAAATAAGCCTGACATTTTAAAACTATTAGTGTTTCAGAATGCTCAAAGAACTATGTTAAACATGAAATTTCTGTCTCCTAGTTATACAAAGGAATTAAGAATGCGTAAACACTTTTGAAACATAAAGTGTCTCAGATTGCTTCCTCAACTCCTTTTCTTATCAGCAATCAACAGGCTACCAAAAGAATTGGCACTTGGTATTTAAAAATTAGTAACTGGCATTTAAAAGTTGTCAGTTAACAGTGTGAAAATCTGCATTTAGGAAAAAGGTTTCCTTGCATAATAATGTCCAATTAGCAGTTCACTCTGATGCAACATTAACTATCAAATTAAATATCACAGTAAAGCAATACCAGGGACTAAACTCTCTGCAATATTTTTTTCTGTATTAAATTCTTGGAACTACAGCACTATTTTATGTAAATGAATGCATGCAAATGAAAGAAAGTATGTGGATGCTGCATATTTTGAATAAAGTTGCATTCAGTAAAAGGTAGAGAGCCCTCGAGACAGATTGTAAAAAGAATATACATTGAGCACTATAAAAACAGAAGGTTGCAACATTGCTTTTAACTGTAAAAAAAGCAGCACAAATACAGATTTTGTCAGTCTGGAAGTTGTACACTTGTATATCATTACAGATTTATATGCATACATTGGGCACAGTCCTCTGAGAACTCATCTTGTGCAAATATCATTGATATCATTGGGAAATGGAAAACTCTGCTTCACTGATGCTGCTTGCATAAGAGAAGTTCCCCAAGATGTCCCAAATACCTTTGCTTCTCCATGGCTTTGCTTCTCCTTGACAGGTAATGTGTTAGCCCTGCTAGAAAAATGCAGATATATTCCTTTTGGCACTTTATTTCCCTTTGCTGTTTTTTGAAGACTTCTGAATCTGAAGCTTTAGTTCCTTGATCATCATCTCCAACTTTTGTCTTGCTTCTCTTTCCTGTCTCAATTCATCTTGAAGTTCTTGCCTATCAGCTTCTGCATGATCCAGCCTCTGTCTCAGCTCTGCCAACTGCAAATTTTTAATGGAATATTAAAACATTTGAATCTATCCACCCAACCATACAACTCCAGAAGTAAGCTGTTTCATTCTGTAACAATATTATGTGAGGAATTCACAATAATCACTGTGTTCTCTTATTCTCACTACTTTCAATTTGTATGAGAGGGATATCACCATGGCTACATAGACTGGAAAAACTATGTGCAAATATGTATGGAAAAGTTATTAAACATTTAGAACATAAATTCTGGATGCTTTTCCTTTTGGTGCTTTTATTGATAAACTAATATCTAGAGGTGGGGAGAAACTCTTTCCCTTTTTGTGTGCTGCACAAAGGTTTCTGCATCTATGATTCTCAGACTGAATGTGCTGAGACACCACAATCTAACAAGCCATTAAGGTCATACTTCAGCTACTGTAGCTTTGTCAAAAATGAACAGCAAATATATTAAGGATAACTCCAAAGGATGATGGAACAAATGTAAAGAACCAGATGTGCTTATATCCCGATCCCAGCTGCAGTGACTCAACAGCAATTTTTTTACTGTTAAAGGCTTCTCACCTGTCCCAAGGCTCTGAAAGACTTCCCCAGCACAAGAGAGAGCTCTAGCCTGCCTCAGAACCAGAAATGCATTTAAATTAAAGATTATGATGTCATCTGTCTTGCATTACATAGCTTTAAGAGGATTTTATCTACTATTAAACTGTGTTTTAAAATTCTCCTCCCCACCCTTCTGAAATCTTCTTCCATTATGCCAGAAATGATAAAATGGTTCATCTTAGCAGTTGCCAGCCAGATATCGTGACAGAGGCCTTGTTTCAATTTCCTATGTGAGACAAACTTTTAATCAAAACAAATGCTTCCAAGATAACTTATAAAAACAGGAAGTCCGCTGTAATTTTCCCTGAGTATGAAACTCACAGTACATAATGGTGTAGCCATAATAACACGGCTGAAATCCTGCTGCTTAGCATTGTAACTCTCATTAAGAGCAGGCCCACTAAATCAGTGAAGATTTCTCCATTAGTTTCATTGATTTAAATAGGTTTACTGTAGTTATCATGTGCTCTACTAAAGTAAGCTGCAACTAAAATAAGCCAATTTGACTCAATAGAATTTACGAAACAGCTGAGTCACCAGATCCCTACTGATTCAATGGGCTTATGCTAGTGTGACTTACTATGCTAAGCAACAGGACTTCAATCAGTGAATAAGTAAAATACTGTATCTACTAATCATATCAAAACTATGATTCTTTTGATCTGACAACTTGAATTGCAGTAAATCTTCAAGGTGATTAATCAGTATCCAAGACTGACAAATACACCCAGCTGGACAACAATATTTCTGATCAATTTATTAGAAACATAACAGAGGTATTTTGCATAAACAGATTAGCAGTTTGGTTTGAAAGCACTTAATTGCAATTCTGTATGCCATTTTTTCAGAAGACTATCGGTCTCAGTTCAGTTACATAAGAGATGAGTGTAAAGGATTAATGAAGTAAGGATTGTAAAGTTTCTTCAAGAATGAATGAGCTATATGAGGAAGTAATAAATGAAAAGATAATTAGATTAATGGAAGAGGAGGAAATGCATTTAGTTGGAAGTTCCAAAAATTAAGATTTCTGCTTCTGAATCAACAATCCAGATTTACCCAAGAGTCAACCCTAAAGGGACACATGGAAATATGAGTAAAGATTCATTGGATTGTGTTGGGGGAACATTTAGAGCAGACTTCCTGAGGTGGAGGGATGGGGAAGTCTAATTGTAGAAATGTGCTTACTTTCATGACTTTAAGATGTAGTCAGCTTTATACAAGTTGGCTACCATTTGTACAGAATTCTTGTCATATATAATTCAGACTTTGAAAATTTATGGCTGGAATCCTACCAGTCACCAGGCATGTGACCAAGTTGTGCTCTAGCATCTTGGCAATTAGCCATACCAAGTTATGAAAATCTTATGTGAACACTAATAAGATTCTGTCCTATGTCTTCAAATATATGTTTTCTAGTTTGGTTTAGCAATACAGTACTGTAGTTTACAAATGTTGCCCTAGATTTTAGCCACAATTCATGGGAAATTAATCAGGAAAGACATTCCGTTACTCAGTGTTCTGCTCACCTGGGCTGCATACTCTGCTTCTTTGTCCTTTTCCAAGTTAGAATCACAGGTACATTTTTGCTTTATTACCTGCTCTAACTTTTTCTCCAGGTCTCTCTGCTCAATGTAAAACTCTTGCATTCTTTGAGCATGTTCAGTTTGCAAAGATTCAAGTTCTTTTTGTAAATTCTGTTGCTCTTCTGTCAACTCCTTCATGGCCTTTGAACTACTTAACATTTCTACTTCCTGTAAACAAAACGACAATAATGCACATTGTGTCCAAATTCACAAAAGTCCCAACAAGCTATCTTTACTTGGTAAACTTTATTATTACTATGATTTTTTAATATAAATATACCCCCACACTCCAAAAGTATATATAGCACAAATTCCATACACATAGTAAATCAAAGGTTGCCTTATTTTAGAAAAATGTGAGAGCTATCAGGCTTTTCCAGTCTCGATAGTTGTGTTCAGTTTTTGTATGCCGAAATCTTTGTAAGACATATGCGCACAACTATATATTTTTTGGTTCTGTGGACCATTTCATTTTATTTATTTATTTATTTGATTTATACCCCGCCTATCTGGACTTCAGAAACACAGACAAAAAATACTACTTCAGCTAACTTTGCATTCTTGTTGAATTAATATAAACTGCACATCACTTCATGAACTTGGCAGGTATCAAATTATTACTGGATTTCAGCCAGTTTGCAAGTCACAATTAAAGCAGGCCCATTAAATCAATGGAATTTATATACTGACTCAACAAATCCCCATTAATTCAATGGGCGTACTCTGGTTGTGATTTAGATTTCAGCCACTATGTTCCATTATTGCTTGCCAATACAGTACAATAATTAAGTTTTCAAAGCCCCTAGCATATGTGTTTTGAAATCTGGAATACTGAGGTGGGACCCCTTTATTTATCCCAAAGAGTCCCACTTTCTAATCCTTTGGAAACTTTGTTATTTTTAAACTTACTTCTGTAACATTAATTCATTTATTTTGAAGTATTATGATTCTATTCTCTAATAAAAATACTTCAGAGTATCTTGCAGATTAATTTTAAAACTCTGAATTCAACTTTACCTTCAGAAAGACATATAAAGACACAAATGGTAAAGAGAATAGAAGGAAGATGACAAAAACATATAACAGTTCTTAAAATTATAATTCTTGTACCTACCAACTAGGAAATAGTTAATGCAACCCGATGAAACGCCTGCTGCCCATTAACAGATCAGGAGAATGATGAACACATTAAATCTTAGCAATAACAAGGTACACAAGAGTGCTTGAGCAATGAAGCTACAGTAAGCAAGGGTTACTCTAGCTTTTTTCAGTAGCTAATTTATTTGCCAAATGACAACCCAGTCCTTGTTATCATGATCATCAAATCCAAGGCATAAGAGTGAAATGAAAAATCTTACAGGCTTTGCAAGTATAGCAATTTGCAGTATGACACATGCATTTAGCCCTGAAGAGTTTTCAGATGCATGTATACATGTGAGTGCATACATATGCATGTATTATTTTACAATAAATCCAAGAACGATATACTAATATTATATGAGTGGGTTTTTTTTTTATTTTATTCTTTACCTATTCACACTCAATGCCAAACTGTGTTACAAGGAGCAAACCTTATGCTCTCAATGCTCTCCTTCCTGATATACAGAAATTACAATTTCCAATGCCAGCTCTCCAGTATTTATTCTTGCAGGGCCAAGCAATAATTTGGTACCACTGCTGACACACCATCCGAAAATACATTCTGGGAAGCAACTGCAAAGCAGCCAAAGATATATATCTGTGTAATAATGTTCGGATGCAATAAATGCAGAAAACCCTACTGGATTCCAGTTTACAAATATATGTATTCCTGGCTATTTTCCGGTGACTTTCCAACATGTTTTCAAAAATCTAGGAAAAGTATCAACATTTGAAAGAGCCCTAAAGGAACAGTCACTCTGACTTCATCCAAGTCTTCCTCACAATCTTCTTTCACTCAGTTATTGCATGCCCTCTTGGGTGCCTAATATTATTTATACAGCCACATCTATCTTGCACTACAAAAAAGGTTCAAAGCTATATTCTATTATGTACAATTGGGGAACTACAGCTTAATCTCAGGACTGTCAGTTTCTAAGTATATAGCATATTGTTATCTGTGCATTTTAAAATACGCATGAAATTTCTGGTTAAGGTATCTAGAATTTTGGTGATGGGTCTCATGCCTGAACAAATGCTGAGATTGCTCTTCATGCTTCTCTGGATCACAGGATATGATATATTAATTTTTTATGCATAGATAGTTCTCTCGTTCGAGGCATATTCTAAAATCATAATTTAGCTTTCGTTTTTCATACTTGGCATTGATTATATTTACTATTATTTGAGTGAAGCTTCTCACAAATGTCAGCACACAAATCTAGAAATACTTAGCAAATTTCTAGAAAGAAAGCATCATCTTCAGTAGACAATCAAGCAGTCTAAGGGCCCTTTTGTTTATGATTTCATACTAAAAGTAAAAACAAATGTTGACAGAGAGCTTATAGGACACTAATTAAGCCCTTCATCTTTTGCAGAACAGTGAATTTCATCCTCATATAACATACTAACGCGGCACATTAACCAAAAAAAAAAAAATGAGCAAACACTTAAGTGAGAGCACAGTTTGCTGTCCTCTGAAGATGCCAGCCACAGAGACTGGCGAAACGTTAGGAAGAACCATTTTCAGAACACGGCCAAGAAGCCCGAAAAACCCACAACAACCACTTAAGTGATCACTAACAGATCTCACTCTTCTTCCTGAAATCCCTTTTATTGCAGTTTTCCTGGATCATCTGTACAGTCTCACCTATACCCAACTGTTTACTCTTTACCTATTTATTCAACCAAGGAAAACTTTCATTACTTTTCAGTACGTTTTCAAATATTCCACCACTTCTCTTATCAAGATTGCAAATCCATTCTTCTAATTTTTGACAAGGCTGCAAGTCAAGTTATTAGACAGAAGCAGAATACAGTACTATATGAAATGATGGCAGATTCTCCCACAGAGTAATAAACTCTATTACAATTTAAAATTAAAATGGAGGGTTTCACATTAAGATTAACAGCTTGACAACTTGAAGGTAATCAGCCTTGTAAAACAAGTCAGCAATATAAATTTACAATAGTTTACTCAAGTACGCTTGTTAGTTGTTTTGTGGCCCAAAGTGGAGTGTGGCCAGGAGTTCTAAATTTCTCTTTCTGATTTCCTATAGACAATTCCTAGTTGCTATCACACAGTCCAAGTTAGACAGCTGACAATATCCTAAGTACTTTTCTTCTAGGTTTTCAATCCTTTTTTACATCTTGTAAGGAATTCTGAAAAAAATCAGGTGTGAACTTCTGGACAGCAATTTGTACCCGAAACACAATTTCTCTCCATTTGTACTCTAGCACAGACATAGCAAACATCACTGCAATGTAAGAATGTATAATTAAGCAGTCTTTGCATTTAGGAATCTAAGAATAAAATAATGCAGCACTACACTATGAGTTTCTACACTGAAAATAACTTCAGTAGTATCTGAAGCTTGCCAGGCAAGCCAACAATTCAGGATAGTATCCATTTATGATACACTACGAGAACATAGTGTAAAATGCAAAATCAAACACCTCTACTTATTCTGCTCATCTCTGTATTATTTCTAGTAAGAATACACATCTATTTAGATTCCGAACCATTATGAAAAGTTGTGTGAAAAGAAGCTTTTGGAAGACATACCATTTGAAGATGCTGCTTCTTTTGCAAAATTGTATGGAGCTTTTCTTGCTGTTTTATGTATGTTTTCATGACTGCTTCCATCATTTTTCCTTTGTCATCATCACAAGCAGTACCACCAACAGGAACATAGGAAGAGGATTGTGTACCACTGCTGACTGCTTCATTATCTTCCATAGTCACTTTGGAAGGGACCTGTTCAGTTTTCCTTCTGTTTGCAGACTTAATGGATACAGATTGCTCTACAAGGGTTTTTTAAAAATAGGAAAATAATATTGGTTCAAATTATACACATAAAGCAACTAGAAGGATACAAAATTAAGAAGTTTCACATTCCTACTCACCTATACTAGCACATACTTCTGTGTTAAATTTTAAATCAACATTTTTTTGCACATCAAGTGAGATATCAGGGTAGAGAACAGCTTTTTTGCGTTTGCCACTGCTATGTTGTTTCACCAACTGCCCAGGTAGAGATTTAATAACTTCTGAGATTTTCTCTACCGATTTGGTGCTTTCTTTACACTGTGGTACTGAAGAGGTAAGGGACACATTGGGTGCAACCATTTTATCACACATATAAAAGTAGTAGCTGGGGGAAAAAACAAAATTGAAAGATTAACAGAAATTTAAATAAAATCAACTGACAGTATATGAAACATGAACTAACATGTCTTAAGCTTCCAATCCTGTGAAATTGAATTAATTTGAGTTCAGTTACACAAGAATAGATTTAAAAGGGGAAAATTGCCTCCCTAATCCTCAGACTGACTTAAAGCACTTGTGCATATTCATTATTTAGTGTAATGTAAGAACCAGCAAATTAACTAGGGTAAGCATAGAAAGCCTAGATACTATCAAGAGACTTGAGTGTCTTACTGGCAAGGATTATTAAACAGACCAGTTGTTACTCTAAAGTCTATAATCTTACTGAAACTTTTAACCTTGAAGATGTATGTCAATGACTTTTTGAAAGCCGCTGGTTTTACCTTATCATTTTAAGGTTGTTTTTATTTTACTGTTTCATAACGCAAATATCACTACAGTTATAAAGTCTGAATGCTCAAACTGTACAAGAGATGGATCAAATTTTATAAATAATTTGCATTGCAGTAATTACAGGTTAGCTCTCCCATAATCTTAGTATCAACAGCAGCTTGTAATTACAATAATGAGTTAGTTTAAAGGCAAAGAAAAAAATGCAATTTAATTCACTGCAAAACCAGTTCCTCCCCTAATTAAGCATGGAAGAACTCCACTTATGATTCCTATGGGGACTGTATATTTTGTCAGGTACCAACGGCTCCAAAGGTATTTTTCTGTCCCAGTACTTATATCTATAAACCATTCTCTGTGTATTTGAGGTGTATTCACTGGACCTAGAGACTGACAATTTACTAACTGTGCCTTGAAACTGAAGAATGGGACAAAAATATTTTAAATACATGAATGGCCACAGCAAGATCTTGAAGAACTCTGTCAGCACAACTGGAAGAACATTGTCAGCAGTGGTAAACTGTTCCTAACTAGTGTTCCTTTTTTATTTCAGGATGTGAACAATTTTGCCTCCTTGTATACACACCAAAAAATGGGAGGGGAAAAAAGGAGTTCTTTATTTAGTAGCAATCTCCCATTGCTGGTAACATCAAACTTGCAATGCCAGCGGTGCTCTGCAATAAGATATTGGCCAAAAAAATTCTTTTTTGAATGTAGATGAGATACATTTTGAAAGCTATTGTACACAGTTGGGATGGTTGGGGCAGGAGAGTTTGTGTGCTTGGTAAATGTAAAGCAACCACTTCCACAGTAAGGCAATGTGCTCAGTTTGTGAAATTAGCTGAGGAATAGCACAAGTGATAATTCAACTGCTACATCAGCATTAAAGGGGCACGCCATCAGCACAGCAAGCCTCACATGTTTTCACTGAGCTGTAAAACGTGTCAACTCCCTTCACAAGGTTGAAAGAATGCTGCATTTTCAGTTGTGATGCTGACAGACAACTACATTTTACCATGCAAATGCCAAATTATGTTGCTTTTTTCAATGCAGAAATATCTACAATCGGAATCAGCAACCAAATCCAGCCCTCCCCAAAAGGCTACTACTTGATTCCTTGACAGATGTTATCCCTCAGAGTTCTAAAAATCTGCTTCTCAGAAGTATAACTATTGTTGCTGTAATATTTATTTTAAGCTTTATACTGGTCTTTTGTATTATGAAGGCAGCCCTGAGAGACAGAAAACTAAGGAATCTATGTTACAAGCAAGTGGGGAACCATAGACTCTCCTGTGGAATAGTGTCCTTTCAGTAGTTCTTTTCAGATAGTTATATGGATATACAACAAATTTCTAAAATCAAAGATAATATGGTACCAAAACACAGAAAATCTGATTATGTTTATATGCATAGCGTGAAATACAATTCAAAACGTCAGCTAATAGAAGAACAATAAAAATGAAGTTGCAAGATCACTGATCATATTTCTGGACAGCCTTTATTACCTGGGATGCATGAATGAATGTGTCTGATTAACAGAGTCTGTTTCTTGCTTTATAACTGGATACCACTGTTGAAGTTCTAGGTTATACGGAGAATCTTCCTGAGAAGGGAAAACAGTGTTTATGTATTGTTATACATCATTCTAAACTGGAAAAGACCTATTCTGAAGGATATCAATATTTTCCTCCATTCTTACTAAATTCCACAGGGGAACAGAATAAATCACAAGGTAACAAAACAGAAACAACAGCAGAAAAGCAGTATTACTTCAGTTTTGCCCATATTAACAAAACAGAAACAACAGACAGCTTTCTTGAAGACTGCTCATCTTCCCACGTTTTCACTGAAGTAAATTATGATGGTACATATAGTTTGTAAACAGATCAACAGGATAATACAGTATCATTATACCACACTCAGGATCTTCTTTGCTTGGGTAGCATTTTATACAGTTATAATGTATATTTAATCTACCTAAAGCAAGTTAGCAAGTTAATCTACCCTAAAGCAAGAGGGACATGGTGGCGCTGCGGGTTAACTCGCAGAAGCCTCTGTGCTGTAAGGTCTGTAGATCTTTAGCTGTAAGATCGAATCCACGTGACGGAGTGAGCGCCAGTTGCTTGTCCCATCTCCCGCCAACCTAGCGGTTCGAAAGCATGCAAATGCAAGTAGATAAATAGGGACCACCTCGACGGGAAGGCAACAGCGTTCCATGTCTAAGTCACACTGGCCATGTGACTATGGAAGATTGTCTTTGGACAAACACTGGTTCTATGGCTTGGAAACCCTAGAGTCGAACACGACTGGACAAAAACTGTCAAGGGGAACCTTTACCTTTAAAGGAAGTTATCAATTAATGCTTCTAGACCAGGGGTGTCCAACCTTTCACCTTCCCTGGGCCACATTAGAAGATGAAAATTTGGTCTGGGCTGCACATAAATTTGGTTTGGGCCGCATGGAGGGGGGAACCCCTACCCATCCTCTACAGCCCCGCTCCAAGCGCGCTTACCGGCAGCTGCGATCTCAGACAGCAGAGGCTGCCAGCTTCAACTCCGGTGGCATTATGGGGCCGGGAGGGGATCCACCTACTGACGGGGACGGCGCAATGCAGTCACGCAACTCCCCTCCCGCTCCTTCCTTCCTTCCCTCTCCCCCCCACTGTTGTGACGTGCCCCAGCCGCATTCCGGCTGCAAGTGCCGGCAGTGTAACTTGAAACGTTGAAATTTCTTTTAAAATATACAATTGCACTGGGCCACATTATGGGCCGACCTGGACCACATGCGGCCCTCGGGCCGCAGACTGGACAAGCCTGTTCTAGACTGTGATTCATTCAACCCCATGGGCAGACCCTGGATACTTCATCCAAATATATAAGTAAATATGGTGTATGCATAATTCGATAGATGCACATATGCATTTTACTGTTTGGAAGGAAAGAATGAAGGGCAATAACTCAGTCCACAGAGTATGAAGCAGTACCCTGTTTCTCCGAAAATAAGACCTAACCTGAAAAGAAGCCCTAGTAGGATTTTTCAGGATGCTCATAAAATAATCCCTACCCCAAAGACTAAGCCCCAGTTAAGTAAAACCCCGCCCTCTACCATTGTGCAGCATTGTGCAACAACTAGAAGATGACATGACTGTAAAACATCCACTGAAAATAAGCGTTTTTTGGAGAATGCGTTTTTTGGAGAGAAAATTAATTTCCTGTCTTATTTTCAGGGAAACACAGTAGAGATGCACAAATGTTGGGAGGGTGCATGAATCTCTATATATGGTTTGGAATTAGCATTCTAGCAATGCACAAGAGATCCAGGTGCTTGCAAATAGGCTATCAGGGACTCTCTTTTTAGACTGACTCCTTATGACTGGGTTTTTTATTGAAGTATTATAAGCACATTCACAAACTATCCTGCTACAGAGGTATTAGCTCATATTCCCACTCTGGCAGGAGAAGAATGAACCTTGCCCCATGGCCAGCACAGAGACTAAGCAAGGTAAAGGGGAACATATCACTTTGCACTTCGCCAGTCCACTCACTATTAGATTGCATTTATTGTCATCTAAGGCAACTTGGTAAATTCTTAAATGACCTTGTTTTTTTTAATCACATTGTTAAAATGTTTTTCGTTAGAATGTAACATCCACTTTGATAATCAGGCAAGCTAAGCAGGCTAACATTAAAATAAAATAAAATCCAAAATAGATTTCAGATTATTATCATTATCTTTTATTATTATCATTATCTTTATCTTATCATTATCATTATTATTAAAAAATGGAGAAAACATGCAAAATAATTGACAAGCCTTTATATTTTGCATGCTTCTAAAATCCATATGGCTTTGCCGTTCCAAATGGCCTTACAGAGGTGTATGTCTAAATTAAGGATGTAATGAGTACAGTAGTTTCAAGTGTTCTTCACCAAATAAAAGATGCCTCAACACATTAAGATATCGTCAACCAAAAAAAATCATAGAATCATAGAATAATTTAAAAGAACCCATCAAGTCCAACCCCCTGCTCAATGCAGAAATCCAAATCAAAGTAGATGTGACAGATGATTGTCCAATTTTCTTTTGAATGGCTCAGCATTGGAGCACTCACTATTTCCCAAGGTTACTGCTTTCATTGTCATACTGTTCTAACAGTTAAGATATTTTTCCTGATATTTAACCTAAATCTGGCTTCCTGTAACTTGACTCCACTATTAAACACCCTGTACTCTGGGAGGATCGAGAATAGATCCTGCCCCTCTTGAAAGGTAGTCATATTTTCTTTCAGTCTTCTCTTCTCAAGGCTAAACATGTCCAGTTCTTTCAGTCCTTTCATTGTCATACTGTTCTAACCGTTAAGATATTTTTCCTGATATTTAACCTAAATCTGGCTTCCTGTAACTTGACTCCACTATTAAACACCCTGTACTCTGGGAGGATCGAGAATAGATCCTGCCCCTCTTGAAAGGTAGTCATATTTTCTTTCAGTCTTCTCTTCTCAAGGCTAAACATGTCCAGTTCTTTCAGTCTTTCTTCATAGGGTTTAAATTCCAGTCTCCTGATCATCCTTGTTGCCTTCCTCTGAATTTGCTTCCGTTTGCTGGCATCCTTGTTAAACTGTGGTGTCCAGAACCTGACACAGCACTCTAGATGAAGTCTAACCAGTGCTGAAAAGAGGAGAACTAGTCCCTCACAAGATTTGGAGACTATACTAGTGTTAATACATCCAAAATAGCATTTGCCTTTTTTTCCAGCCACATCGTGCTGTTGGCTCATATTCAGCTTTTGGTCTATAACAACTCCAAGATCCTTCTCACTTGTAATATTACTGAGCCAAGTATCCCCTATCTACAATCCCAATTTTACTGAAAAATACAATCTTAGTCCTCAAGGTTTCTGTTCTGCAGCAATTCACCCTTTTTTGCTAGGAAAACTTTTTTGTGTGTGGATAAGGATGTCTGTTTTATCAGGGGTCCATAAAAACACCCTTGGCAGGAATGCACACAGTCTCAGGACCACATTTTGCCCAACTGCTACATATAAAGGAAGTCAACAAACAACATAAGACCTAATACAGAAGATACAGAAATCTACCAGAAGACCTATGAAGAGTAGTTCCTTATTAAAATTATATATTTTCAAAAACATTTGTTTCTTCCTAACACAATGACACAGCTCTAAGAGATGAAGGAGAATGTGACCACTATAATGAGGTTACTAAAAATGATGACTCATCAAAATTCCATATAATCAACGATTTATGACCTTCTGAGACACCACTGTGTATCCTGGTTTGTTGTACACGATCGTCTTTTAAATCCCTTGAAATTAAAAACAAAACAAAACTTAAAAGCTATCCTGACACATCTAGGCACTTTATGAACACCAAATAAATATTCATCAAGACTCAAGAATTTAGAATGGTGCAAATACAAGTTTTAGCAGCATTCCTATTTTAAGTTAATATTTCTCTAGTTCTCAGTCACATTTTCCTTCTCATTTTTAAAATGCACGGCTTCCCCCATTCTTGCCTCCTAAGCTACTACACTGTATTTACTGTTACAGTATCTTCCTTCCTTCCTTAAATTATGTGAACAGCTTCTAGCTTTGAAAGCTAGAAGGTGTTCACATGATTTAGAAGGGCATTCATCCTCTACTCTACCTCCCTCACTAAACAGCCTGGTTGGTTTCTTTCTGTTCTTAAAAATGTGAAGGTGCCTACAATCTCTGTGCATTTTAATTAAATGTGCTGCTTCACTTTTCACATCTCTGAAGTGTTAAAAGCTTTGCTTAAGCAGCAGAGAGTTTGTGCAATTTTCTATTAATGCAGGTATCAGGGATGCTTGTCTTCATGTGCATATATTTTCCTTGCAAAGACTTTAAGGAGTATTTTACATTCTATTTATAGATCCTCTTTAGTTGTTGGAGAAGAAAGGAATCTTACAGACAGGATACAGAGTAACATACAAAAGATGAGCATTTATTATTTTAATGAAACTAGTGCTGGGGAGGTAATCTTGTGGGGTTAAGAGTTTTATACTATTTACCCAGATTCACAATCACTAGTGAGAGAATAGCATTGTCTTATATAGTGGTGCCCTGCTTAACGATTACCCCGTTTAACGATGAAATTGCTTCACGATGTGTTTTTTGCTATCGCTCTTGCAATCACAAAACGATGATTGAATGGGTTTTTTTAGTTTCATGATGATCAGTTACCTGCTTCGGGAACCGATTTTTCACTTTACAACAATCAGAAAACAGCTGATCATCGGGTTTCAAAATGGCCACCTGCTGTTCAAAATGGCTCCCCGCTGTGCTTAGAACGGATTTCTCGCATTACAGGCACCAGAAAATGGCCGCCCTATGGAGGATCTTTGCTGGACACTGAGGTATTTCATCCATTGGAACACACTGAGCGGTTTTCAATGCGTTTCAATGGGCTTTTTACTTTCACTTGACAACAATTTCATTCTACAGCGATTTCGCTGGAACGGATAAACGTCATCAAGCGAGCCACCACTGTATTTTACAGAGGGCATCTTGTCTAAATCCAGTGGTTGTCTATGCAAAAAGGGGAGATCACCTCGATTCATGCACAAATGCTGTCATCAGAGACTCCTCCTTGCTGTCATCAAAGACTCCTGAGAAACAAGCTCACTTTATATAAAATGCTAATCCTACTATTACCTCTCTCCCATTTTTTAATTGCATAGTTTATTTTATGATTGCTTCATCAGAAACACATCCACTAACTTTCCTACCTCCTGTATCAAGCAGGAAGAAAGACAGATGAATAAACATGACCTTTCAAGGGATCTATGGTGAGTCCAGGACACTGAGAGATAAGACTCTTAACTTTACATTACTGCTTTATTTTGAGGTCATTACCACTTACAAACCAAGTACCATTCAATGCTTAAAATGACATGTGTGTAATTTCCTGTAATGTAATTTAATATACTAATGATGAAACAGCAGAAACTCCTTAGGTATTCAAGTAAAAACTCTTAAAATACTGAATAACTAATATTAGCGCATCACCAAAACTGGCCTTATAACAGATTCTCTGTCCTTATCTAAATGTCCTCTCTTCCTGAAAATTCACTCATTAAAACTCCCATTCTGCAGTCTTCTGAAAAGGTCATCTGTATTTGTTCAGCAATATAAAAAATGCAGTACAATATCTGATAGTACATAGCCCTTCATGTGCCATATCACAAGACTGAAACAGAATGATAATAATGTTGTTTAAAAGCCTTAGGCGACAATATAACTATTATTTTCATCAAAGGAAGGTAAAATATATATTGTTTATTGGTATACACTCCAACAGCTACATTACCTTAACCAAGTAATACACTGTAGCTCAGTGAACAGCAGGAGAATTGACATCATTAATGAGTAAAAAAAACTTGATGAAACTGGGGAATTTTGTTTCAGCTACTCTTAACAAGATTAGCTTCCTCCTGTACTGTTTATGTATAGCTGAACAGGCGAGCTCCCAATTTGTGGTCAAACACTAATTTAAAATCATATTATTGCAAATCAATAGGCAATCAATGGTTGGAACTGTTTATGTATTCAAGAACCCATGAACTCTTCTTACTGGTTTCTTACATTCCACTGCTCCCACTGAGTAGACAGAGTAAGAAACAGGTTGTATAGGTTATTTTATAAAAGGCAGAGAAGTTGATTCACCAAAAAGGTTACTACTTTACATTTTGCATCACTGGTAGAAAACGGTGATTTATAGACAATACTGTATGCCGTATTTTCCATGTATATGACCCCCCCAAATGTACAGGATGACCCCCAATTTTTACCCTTGCCGGAGGTGAAGCAGCAGTCAATGAGCAGCCACAAAGAGCGGCCCAGCACGGCTGCTCCTCTGCCTCCCTATGAGCAGCCACAAAGAGTGGCCCAGCACGGCTGCTCCTCTGCCTCCCTCTCCTGCTGCCTTCGCTGCCCGATTGCCCCTCCAGTGCAACTGCCGGGGCTTACCTCCAGCTCATGTCACCGCCTTCTCCCCTGCCTGACAGAGACAACCGCTGGAGGAGGCGATCCGGAGGTGGCACTCAATGGGCCCCAATTAGAGGTGGCCGAGCATGGCTGCTCCTTTACCTCAGTCTCCGCCTCCCGCTGCTGCCTTCCATTTATAAAACAACCCTCAATTTTTCCTCTAAATTTTTTAGGAAAAAGTGTTGTTTAATACACGGAAAAATATGGTACACAGAGAGAGGAATTAGTTAGCTACACTACACCAAATGTTGCCTCTCAAATAATATAATCTTTTAAATGAAAAAAGGTGGAGACAGAGCTGAGTTATATCTCTGCAACAGAGGCCAATTATAAATTTGGAATCACTATCCTCAGCTCCCTATGAGTTCCAAAAAGCAGTACATGACCATATGTGCCCCTGGAAGGAAGAGGCAGAATACAGTATGATCAGGGCTCATGGGGTGGGGTGGGGAGAGCTTTTAAATCTCTATGGAAATCTCTTCAGTTATTAAATATAGAGAAAATGAATTCTATGTTTCTATAATTAGTGGTGATATTAATGTATCATTAGTTTTTATAATTAGTAGTGATATTAATATACCAGGAAAGACAACATTTACTGGGTTTTAATACTTTACAGTTCAATAGTATCGTAATACACTAAAACTTTACCACTCTTTCTACTATTTCTTATTCATTTAGGCTCTTCTCTCAAAACAATAATACAATTTCTGTTCTTTATCTCAATCCACATTTTAACAATTCTCCCCCACCTATCTTTCTCATGACTCACTAAACTATACTTGAGAATTGCCTCTATACATCTATTTTGCTCAAAGATTCTGTGACAAGAGTCCTTTCCTTCTTTTCTTTCGCAAATATCGACCAGGATCAAGGGGTAATGTGTGTACAACTGTGCCACTCTCAATGGAAAATTGCCATTAATTAACACAGTACCATTTCCATTCCTGATTGCATGCCTGTTCATTACTGGCAATTTGCTACTTCAAGTTGCACAATTTCACTTATAAATCTATAACTCACCAATAGGATTCTTGTCTTTGTTTCATGTGATATACAGGACAACCATGGTTACATTTTTACTTTCAATACACTGGCTAGTTATTTATGGGTATTTAAATATTGCATATTTAAAAGAAGGAAAATCAAACGGGCATATTCTTTACAAACAATCCTGCTCAACAGTGTTAGTTGATGTGCCATAGTTATGTCAGTTAGGAAAAAAAGAAATAAGGCTTATTTTATAAGCATAAACAAACTTACTTTAGATTGGGTTATTTTCTGATTTTTCACACTAAACTTTTCTTTCATTTCTTCCAAAAGATGTTTCAAATCTCTCTCTTCTGGGGTTCCTAGATATTTTTGGTTAATATGCAGATAACAATGCCATTTGGCTGATTCAAAGCCCCAATGACATGTTCTCTTGTCAGGAGAGCGATGAGAATGCATCACAAATGTTTGGGGTGAAAACATCCCATAGCATTCTGAACACTGAATACACTGGGAATCTGGCTGAAGATAAAAATGTGGAGCAAATAAACCCTGACACTTGCCCAAACATTCATGCTCTACTTCAAAGGCACCACCAATTTCCTTTAGTTGATCCAGTGAACCTTTAGCATGACGTATGCTACCATTCTGAGGAAAAGTACGAGGGCGCAGCAGAGCATTGCACAGTCTCTGAGCATCTGTCAGTGTGATCAGCCCACAAGATGGAGCATTAAATGGAAGGATTCCCAAAACCTTTAAAATATGAAGCTGGTCAGAAGTGCATCTAGAACAGTAGATGTAAAGTTCATCACAAACTGTGTTAATCTGCTGCAGAGAAAAGTCACGGAGCACAGAATTCAAGACTTGAGGCAGACAGAGTCTCTTTTCTCCTCCGACTTTAAAGCAAGATATACTCTCTCCCTCCAATAAAGTCTGAGTCAGCTCTGTAGAGCTATCTGAAGGAACAAGCAGTGGGCCAGGAAGGATCTGAGGTGATGGGAGAGGTATGAAGACAGAAGACGTGCTTTCTTGGGAATGGCGAGCAGAAAATGCTGCTGGTCCACCCAGTGAACTCTGGCTGCTTAAATGGAACTGTGCCAGTGTATGTTTCAACCCAGGATTTAAGTTCAAAGGCTCAGGCATTGCAGCAATGTTTGGTCTGGCACCTTCCTGTCTGTCCTCCAAAACATTTTCTTCACATTCATCCAAGTGTTCCTTTTTAATTGTCGACAATTTATTTACCATTGTTTGTATTTTATCTTTTACATGTACTTCTGTCATTGCTTTTTTTGTTGGAGGACTGCCATCTTCTTGTGCTACAGTCCCCTTTTGTTTTGACTGATGACCTAAGGAGAATTTTTTCTGTGCAGCTTCCATAACTTAATTTTAAACGGAAGAAAGTGAAATGTGATTACTGATAGTTCTTTCAAATCTCAGTTTCTTGGTTTGTCAGCTGCACATCTAGCATGTCTGTTTTCATCACAGTAAACATTTAATAACACACTAAACTGGCATTTTAAACAATTTGCATTTAGTATAGCCTCTAAAATTGAAGGAACAATCTAAGAATTTATGTTATTTCAAAACGGTTTTTCAGTTTGACTAATATAAAATGCACAACTGCTCAAACTGCTGTCAGTGGTCTTTAAAGCAAATGAATGTTTTAATCCAACAGAAAACTGATTTAGTACAAAGTCTAATTCTGAATGAGACTTCATTTTTACAGATATATAGGCTCTTCATTTTTCCCTTCTAACTGAACATAAAGACACACAGTTGCTGATATATCCACAACCTGAGACATGCTGATTTGAAAATGACTGTTCTAGATATTAGAGGGAGTAGTTTCATGTAGAGGATTCTTGCTATTCCCAGTATTAGAGACGCAGTTCCAGATTTATTGTGCAACAATCTTTTCCACATTCAGTTGCATCAGTGTTAGTTTGCCAACAAACCCACAGCTGGATCCTAGGGTGCTGGTTGCAATTATATGTAGACAGATGAACATTGTGGATGCAAATTTTCCAGTCATGAGATTTAATAATGAAAGCAGGTTCCCAGACATCAGGAAAATTAACTTCTTTGGAAATTCATATATACGTCCATCCTTAATCTAAAAAGAGGGGAGAAAAACAGACAAATGTTTTACAGTCAGAAGTGTACTAAATTAAGCTGTTTCAGGTTAGCCTCATACAATCTAGAGGGAAATGTTGCCATACTGATACAGAGATTAAAATACACAACATACTTAAAAGGGCAATATTGTTCACAGGACTGAAACCTCTTGGCTGATGAAAAATGGTTTTAGGCTTTATCTTGCTGAAATATTTTGGGTGTTATTTGCAGGTAGTGTTAATTGAGAACAATCTACTAAAATATGTGGCCCTCTCTATTTTGTCTCAAACTAATCATTATGCAAGAGATACATTATTTGATCTCTCTACTTGTTATTTCTTTTGAGTTGAACAGCATCCACATGAATTTTCATGGAAGAAGCAGTTTTAATTCTTTGCCACATGCTATTTTCCCATGCTGAAATCAACTCTCCTTCCAGTTAGTATTAGTCCCACAGGAAGGAAAAACATGTTTCTTTACGTTTTTCCTATCTTCTCTATACTATACTCTATATTGATCCACCAGTATTTGTACAAAAATGAAGACGATGTACATTCCTGATGTCTTGGTATTTTCTATGTGTTCTCCAACTGTTCAGGTTTAATACAGAATGACAGTTTGACTAACATGCAATTGTTCCTAGGTTTAGCTGGGTGCTGCATGTGACATGGGGATTCTCTTCAGCTTTTCTTCTCACTGCACATGCTGACACTGGAGTCAATAATTATCCTGTCCTAAATACCTACTTTGAAGATAAACAGTATATGAGGGGAACATGACCATTCTACAGTGGTGCCCGGCTTGACGATTACCCCATTAGACACCGAAATCACTTGACGATGATCGCAATACAATGTCTGTATGGGTTTTTTTCGCGTAACGACGATTGGTTCCCTGCTTCGGGAACTGATTTTTCGCTTAACGACGATTTTAAAACAGCTGATCGGCAGCTCTCAAAATGGCTCTCCGCTGTTTTGCTGACCTCATTTCGTAAGACAGGGAGCGGAAAATGACCGCCCTTTGGAGGATCTTCGCTGCACGATCAGATATTCCCCCACTGGAACGCATCGACTGGTTTCCCCCCGCTTGACGACGATTTCGCTTAACAGCGATTTTGCTGGAACACATTATCGGCCTCAAGGGGGCACCACTGTACTCAGTTTTACTCCACCAGTCAGTGCCACTGCCTGCAGATAGCTTTCAACTGTCTCTCTTGATCTAAGAATTCTCCACACATATTAGTGGCCCCACATTTTTGCCTCACTGCCTTTTCTAAAAGGATCTAAAACATAACAAAAAAAGCTAATATAGTGGTGCCTTGACTTACAAACGCCCTGACCTACGAACAATTTGACTTACAAACAGCTCCAGCCGCAAAATTTTACTTTAATTTGCAGCCGGAGCTTTTACTTACAAATGGAAAAAGACAGGGGGAGCAGGCAGTTAGGGAACATTTTTACTCCTGGGGCGCAGGAGGAGGAAGGAGAGGCGGGGCAGCTCCAGATCGCCGCTGGGTGCGGGAAGCCAGTGCGCTCCCTGCCCATCCCTGGCATGGGTCTACTCACAAGTAAGCGCCGCCGAAGCCATGGGGCTACTCGTGAGTAAGCACCACCAACAGTGTGGTCCACTCATGAGTAAGCGCCACCGAAGCCGCGGGTCGGAGGGGTTTTGTGGACGGGGCGTGTGGCAGTGGCACAGGCGGAGGAAAGAGAAGTGGCCGGGTGCTGGTGCTTCGGAAGCCTGCGAAGCCTCCGCAGAGGCTTCGAACTGGTAAGGGGCTGCTTTTTCCTTTTAAAAAAGTTGTTCTGGGTGGGTTTTGGAGGGTAGGTTTGGGCTGGGGGGGGATTACATTTCTGTGTTTTGTTTTTTGGTGATTTTTTTTGGCAGTCCCACCATGGACTTGTTTCAGTGTTTATTTTTGGATTTGTTTGTTTTTTGTTTCTTTGCAGTCCCAGCATGGGACTTGCAGTGTTTTAGTTTTTATTTTTATTGGTATTTTTTTTCCTTCGGCCAGAATGGATTAATCCGTTTTCAATGCATTCCTATGGGAAATGGTGCTTTGACTTACAAACATTTTGACTTACAGCCACCGTTCCAATAAGGATTAAATCAAGGCACCACTGTAATGCATTTAAGTGCCCAACTCCACAACTGTACAATTATTTGATCCACCTTCCTGCATAATCACTGGAGACCCACTTCTGTCTTGGAACTCAATAGATCTGCATATGGTGTAGTCTGGTTGAAAACATGGGGGAATGTCTATTGCTTATGAAAATAAATACTTTCATATATAAGTAATATTCTTGGAATCTGTATGGTCAAAAAGTCAAACTTGTCTCCAATATATGGCAAATTCAGACTAGAACAGAGGAAAGACTAACCATACTTATTTTATGATCTGTTTCTGTTTCTTATGATCAACACAGAACTGAAATCAGATGAGACTTCATTTATGGAAGCCCTATTCCTATACCAGCTGCTAAAAAACCAACAATATCCGTGTTCTTTTGTACAGTACAAAGCACTACCAAAACCAAACCTTTTCGTACAATACACGTATTGCCTATTTTTCTTCCCTTCTGTGTTCTATTAACATATTTCTGGATACATTTTCAGCATTAGAGTTTCTCTCTTACCAACAAAAGTGGAGAGGAAAATGTGCTACCTATATGCTGCCCTGTAGCGCGTAAAGTACACTGGGGAGTTTACACTTTAAATACGGAGGCTACACTTCCCACCCCCACCCCCACGAGCTGGGTACTCAATTTGCCAACCTCAGAAGGATGGAAAGTTGAGTCAATCTTGAGCCAACTATCTGAATCCATTGAGATTGAACATGGGTCATGAGCAAAATATTTGACTGCAGTACTGCAGTTCACCACTGTACCACAAGTTTAGTCATGCGGTCTTGTAAAGTAAGACCCCCATATCCACCATGAACCCATTGTAGGAGCTATTGAGAATACCTGTAACTGCAGATAGCAGTGAACTCTATACACAGCATACAAGGAGCTTGTACAAAAGCCACAATGGGGCAAGATAAAGCCCACAAGGCCCCATGTGTGTTGTATACAGTGCTGTGATAAACTGTGGACAACTGAAACTGAAGATACTATCCTGTGGATTTGGGGGTCTTACTGTACATGCTCCAAACACCTGAGTTAGTGATCTGTATGTCAGACTATTAAAAATAATAAATAAATGCTAGCTTTCAGCCCATACAGGCCTTCATCAGGTGGGACACTAATTTATGCATGGTGCTGGAAAAATAGAAGTGTTCCAAAAATTATGGCTAGATGTCTGTGCTAGTTTCAAAATGAGGGATGCAAAGTCAATCCAGGACTGCTGGTTTTAAATTTTACCTCTGGTAATGTTGACTGAATTGTCTCAAACTCATCAGAAAGAAAGCTGCCAGCCACTTGGCATCACCCAACCACCCATACTTTACATTTAAACAAAAGTGTTCCTTTTCTTTGGCTGAGGAGTGGGATGACAAAGAAATGCAGCAAATGTCTTATTGGAGAACTTGGGATAAAATTTAGTTTACTACTAGTTAAGCCAAATTAATTCTATTAAATAATGGTTGGAGAAAAAGTTGTCTTGTCTAAGAGAAGGGGGAGTGATTTGTGAGCCACAACACACTTGTACATTTTACTTGTGTGAGTGCACATATGCTCTAAGCCTATTCATAATACTGTACTTAAAAGCCTTAAGACAGTGAGAGGGTAATTCTCAGAACCCGGGATCTGACAGTAATAATGAAGAATGTAAGAAATATTGTGGACTCCAACGAAGATTTGTTTGAAGTGGGAGATTTTAAAAATAAATAAAGACAAAGACAGCAAAAACATGAACAAACACAGTACTGTACTCAATAATGTATCAGGTATTGACATCTTTGCAAGTCTTCCCAGGAAAGGAGATCCAGAGCTCTACAATGATCTCAATCTTGAAAATACAGGCAAACACAGTGAAGATAACAGCAAAGAGGTCTTCACATACTATCTTTGACTAGGAAGGAGAAAGTGAAACGGCTACCCTTGATTAGGATTGGAGGGGTTCTACAGGGGTCTAGATGGGTCATTTCATTTTTCACATTGTTTTCAACATCTTTTTTCAATTTCAGGTAACACAAAGTGTTGTTTGCATCCCTTGAATAATAATTGGTTTTTAATCGATTTTTAAAGAAGTGCATATTTCACATATGAAAAATTAAATAGTTTAGGAGAACAGACCTAGTTCAATGTTTGTATTAAAATAACTATGTTTATGGTTTTGGGGGGGTTGCCCCTCAGTGACGCCTATGCTCCTAAAAAATTACTGATTTTTGTAAGTGGTCGTTCGACTAGATAGGTGGGGTTAATTGGTTTTTAATCGATTTTTAAAGAAGTGCATATTTCACATATGAAAAATTAAATAGTTTAGGAGAACAGACCTAGTTCAATGTTTGTATTAAAATAACTATGTTTATGGTTTTGGGGGGGTTGCCCCTCAGTGACGCCTATGCTCCTAAAAAATTACTGATTTTTGTAAGTGGTCGTTCGACTAGATAGGTGGGGTAATTAACCAACTTCTATTTCTCATTACTAAACCTTTGAACGTTCAACATATTCTTTCACCAAACGTATCAAAAACACATTCTACATTATGCTCCAAAGGTAACCTGAATTTTTCAATTCCCACTATCATGTCTTCTAAAACTATCCTAACCTGTGAAAAATCAGGGGGAATGATTTCCACTAAAAACTATAGACGCCCTCAACATACTAATACCCACTCGAATTCCAATTATGTAGTAGTTCCAATGCAATAGACAATACATCACAAAATTCCTTCTCAAACCTCATTTCACTGTAATTACCTTACACGAAACCGGGCCTTCTCGGCGGTGGTTCCTCGCCTCTGGAACAATCTCCCTCCTGAGATTTGTGCAGCCCCCAATCTGGGCACTTTTAAAAGTCAATTTAAAACATGGCTCTATATTCAGGCCTTCCCTCCAGCTAATATCTGATTTTTATTTTAATTTTTACTTATTTTCTATTCTATCTTTGTATTGTATTTGTTATAGTATGCTTTATGTAATATTTTGTATTATTTTATTGTTTTATGATATTGGAAGCCGCCTAGAGTGGTCTTATAGGCCAGATGGGCGGAGTATAAATAAATAAAATAAATAAATAAATAATTCGCCTTTGGAACGTTTAAATAAATACATATGAGTGTGTGTAGTGTGCCATCAAGTCAAACTGACTTACAGTGACCCCAATAGGGCTTTCAACATAAATGAGATATTCAAAAAGTGGTTTTACCAGTTCCAACCCCACAGTGAGTTTCCACCGCCAAGTGGGGATCTGAACCCTGTTTTCCAGAGTCCAACCTTTTTAACACTGCGGACTGGTTTGGGGAAGGCTGGGCACCCCCTGGCACTCACGCGCATGCGCAAAGGGTGCTCGGAGGCACTCATGCGCATGTGCGAAGGGGTGGGGGTGCTGGTGCAGGCACTCATTCACATGCACAAAGGGGCTGTGCGGGGGGGAGATCTGTCTCCACGGCCCGGTCTGACCCAAGCCATGGACCTGCACCAGGCTGCGGGGTGGGGACCCCTGCACTACACCACACTGGATATATGCATAACAATATAAAAATTCCTAATTTAAGGTTTCCTGTGACAGTCTGCTTTTCAAACTATTCTCTTAACACAGTGATTCTGAAACTATTTCAGGGAATTCTGAAACATATAAGGAGATCCTCAATTAGAAGGCAGCAGACACAGTGCCATAAATCTCACCAAAACCAATTTTTCTTTGTATAACATAATCAGAGGTCTAATATACTCAAAGGTTCACTCATTTGAGGATATTGCTGCACTATCAGCAAGACCACTTGGGAATGATTTGACTATTCACACAGAAATTGATCCTGCCAATACATTAGTGAAGTGGCTAAATAAGCAAGTAACTTCAGTATACTACCAAATTAATCACTTCCCCTACTTCACAGAGGGCAGGGGAATTAAGAACATTTTTAAAAATAGGATATAGACTATTGCTGATATGCTGCATCAGTTATTTAATAAATACCAAAAATCTTTTCTTTGCCTTCTCTTAAAGGGAAAGACTCCCTGCAGCCCAAGCCACAGC